GCCAAAGACGAACTCGATTGGGTCGAACGCACATCGGAACCAAAACTACAGTTTCAAACAGGAGAGATCGATGTMCTACAGWCACWCAAACARTTGGACATYCGAGTGTCGGTCCCCGTAGGACACTTGCTGACCATATCCGAAGCTGCAAATGACAAACTCCTGCAGCAATGCGAGAAGAATCAAAAGCGCTTTACCTACCAGCGCGTTCAGCGTATGTTGAAGAAAAAGAAAGAAGATGAGAGCAAGAYAAGTCCTRCCCCTGTGATCGAGTCTAGCGCACTTGAAATGGCGAGAATYGCCGCCATTTCTTAGGCCGAKAAAGATCATTTTGTGCGTGTYCGATCGGTCCTATGGAAAAGTGCAGAATGTGATTGCGAAGTCTGGGGTAAACCGTTTGATGCGCATATTGACACTGGATCATCAGCCGTAGCTATCTCCCTKAACAGAGTCAGAAAGACTGGACGATTGAACTCTATCCTTCCTCTACCAGGGAGGGMCAATTATGTCTCGACCGATGAAGAGGCCATAAATATCGYAGGGATCATTGAGAACGTTGCGATCAAGRTTGGCCGGGTAYATRTGCTGGTTAACGCATTAGTTATCRACGTACACTCTTATTCGATACTGTTAGGACTGCCCTGGGCGATGGCGGTAGGCGCACAAATCCATTTCGATTCTAAACAACTCGTTCTCACCCATACGGGAGGGAAACCTCAAACACTCCCTCTACGAGTCTCTACTCGATCGCTGAACAAACATCCCTGTCTTGGCCGGATAGGAATGATCCAGAGCCCGGAGGACAGTGCCGTACCCTCGTACCCTCATTTACCGTTCACGGGGGTTGAGAACAGGGGTCAGCCACCGTTCACGGAAAACGTGAACGCCGGTAGTTCAAGGAGTTCACGTTGAGCGGAAACTCCGTTGTTTTTTTTTTTTCGCCTGGTAGGGGTACTTTTTTTTTATATAGACGTGTGGGGACTGTAAAGGGGCACCTGCCCATTTTTTATTTTTTTTTGATAGGAATTT